TGCTTTTGATTTACTTTTGTCAATATCAATCCTCCAGATAATTTTCAATTTATTAAAGCATCTCTTGATTCATGCCCTTCTATATAGTTGTAATTTTACCAACAACACATTGTCAATCAAAACGAAGGATAATATTTTTTTTTTCACCAATATTAATTAAGACTTTTTAATAAATATTAACAAAACTATTTTTTAACCTATTCTAAAAAAAATTATTGTCGCTAATTCGACTTTTATTTAGTAAATATAAATAAGTGGTTTTTACTTAACATTAAATTTTTTACTTAACATTAATAAAGATTATTTTTCAATTAATAATATTAAGATAATTTATCCTCCAAATATAACTATTTCTTAATTGACATATAAGGATTTTGTTAACAAATGCAAGTGGTGTTATGTTTTGTTGGATGCCATTCATATTTATTTTTAGAAGATAAAAATGATTATTTTTATATTTATGTTTACGTAAGATGTTTTTCGATTTATCTCGTTGGTATTATTTGATGATAAAACATTTTATTTAAATAAAAATTAAATTTAATAATTTTGAATAATTTTATTCAAATAGAACTTTTACAAAATTAAACCATTTGAAATTAAAATAATTCAAACTTAATGTATTTTTTTTTTTTTAAATTATAAAATTTTATATCCAAACACAAATTAGGATTTATCAACTATTCCTTCTCTCTTAATTTGCATTCGATGAAGAAAAATAATTTAGTTATGACAGGAAAATGATAGAAATATTGATCGCAACGTGAAATGATACAGATTAGCAATGTTTAAATTTAATAATGGATTTCATACACCCTTCGGTTATTGCAACCCTAACAAATTCGATTGTGCTGTGTGTTCTACTCTTATTTTCTATTGCGGAATCAAATTCCTTATTCCCCTTTATCAATGCCAAGAAACGATCCTTTCTTATCAAGCAAAAGCGACAGGATTCCTATGTTGGCCTGCCATTTATTTACTAACATCATCATTAGTTCCAATCATAGATTAAATAACAAATATAGTAAGAAAACAATTTAAATCGACGGTAACTTGCAGCTACTTCCAAGTCATTAATTTTAAGAATACCAACAACAAATTGAATTGACCATTAAAATTCTTAAAGCAAACATCAATGTTCAGTTTAACTATTAATCACGGATAGAAATATCTTCATGTCCACATATATTACCTTTAAGATTATATTACACAAATTAAAATAAACATTAATTTTAATTATTTTTAATAAATTTATTAATATTTTTCATTAATACTTTTATTATCTTAATATTCTTTTTTCAACCAAAATACTCTTAAAGAACATTTTTAATAATAGTTTCTTAATGAAATATTTAAATAAAATTATAGTTATTTAAAACAATTTTCTATAACATCTATGTGGCTATTTAAATTTATTTCATAATTGTTTCATCAAGTAAATAGGGAAAAAGAATAAAATAATGAATTAGTTCTTTAAAATTTATTAAAAATTATGAATTATTTAAAAGAGATATGTCATCATAAATTTATATTTTATATCTTTTTAATATAAGAAAAACTGATGTCAGTTATTTCTATTATTATCTATTTTATTTTTATAATGAATATAATTAAAAAATAAGAATATTTTCCTATCCGTCGTATATTTAAAAACAATTTTTTTTTTACCAAATGTAATATATTTGGAAATGGTGGGAATACATTATAGTGTGCTAGCTGCTTTGAAACTAGGTATATTCTGGCTTTTAGTTCACAGTTGGCACACACATGAATATATAATTAAATTTAGTGGCATGGTTAAGATTTTTAAGGTAAAATTTGGTTGTCCCTGCATTGTAGAGTTATTGTATACAGCTACACACACATCTATGTGTGAGTGTGTGGCGCGAGTTAATTTCATCGAGTTTCAATTAGATATTATACACAGTCTTCAAACTTAATAGCAAGAAACTTACAAAAAGTGATGGGAGACACAGGACAAGGGCAAGAAAATGAAAGACAACAACGCAAGTGTCATGGATTTTCCTACCAAATTTCTCTCTTACGTTTTAATAATTTTTACAATTTTTGTTTGCTTGGCGTTGTTAATTAGCTAAAGAGCAGGTTAAATAGGGATTGGGATGGTATGTTCCTCAATCTTTTCCTTAAAACTGTATTTTCACTTGCATAATTAAATGATGCTACAGCAATAACATGATTGTAGTAAGAAATTCTACAGTTATAATGAACTCACTTTAATGTCTTTTCCTTTTGGCAATAACAAGTAAAAGAGTTTCATAGGTCACCACTTTTTAAGCCAACAAGATCTAGAATAGATTGGTCATGGTCAGCAATCAATACCCCACCCCACTGGCTTCAATATCCAACATTGAATCAATCAACCTTGCATTTTTTTTTTTATGTATATTTTTTCACTGGTGAGAACAAAAAGACGAAACACAAGTAAATGTTCTTTTTATATTTCCATGTTGAAGAAAGACGAAACACAAGTCTATAAAAAGACAACATTAAAAAAAAAAAAACATGAGAATGTCAAGAGAGTGGGCCCACAATTGTTTATTTAATTTCAAGCATCCATCTATACGTACTAAACAGAATTTTCGATGCATAAATTCTTGTCTGAGGAAGATATCCGTTTTATTTAAATAAATTTCAAGTATAAAATATGTTCACTTTGAAGCATATCTTACTATTACCATTTAAATAATATCATTTTTACAACATCCGAATTATTATTTACTTTTAAACTCGAATTCATCGCAGTTTGTCTTTATAAAAAAACGTTTAGATGGATTAAAAGGACAAAAATCAATAGAAACTATGATTAATCTCGAGTGATAAAACTTATAACAACATAACACTATATATATAACATTAATATGCATATATTACTCAATTATTCTGATGAAATTAAAGCCTGGTCTTTGAATAGTTTTTCTCCCTTCACAAAGTGAAATTACTAGATGGACGTGTGATGAAACCCATTTAGTAAAACTGAGAAGGTTGAATAGTGAAAAGATTTAAAAGGAGAGAAAAGGTATTTTATTATTTTTGTTGCCTGTAGTTTAGGGGAAGGGTGGGGGGGGGGGTGATTGATGATGGCAAAGGTAGTTTGGGAGAAAGAAAAGTAATGGAAGAGGATAGTGACATGCGCCGACTAGCTTACTTTATCCCATTCTTCTTTCTTTCACTAAAACTGCACTTTAGCAGCATTTGTTGTACACATTCATGTCCATCTTCCCCACCCTCATTCATATACCTTTCTGACATCATTGCACTATGGACACTTCAATTCAATTCTTCTAAGCCAATTAAGCCTTTCAATTAGCACCTTATTACACTCCTCTCAACTTTCAAATATCTCCTTACTTGTAATCTCATTAAGTTAATATTAATAATAGATCCTGAAAAAAAAAAAATATAAAAGTCATAGATATTTGACTCACCAATAAGAGAGAGAAAAGCGTTTCTTGTTTTGATTGGTACTGTAAAAAACTAGGAGTTTCTGTTTAGGGAAAGGTCATGATGGTATGGAGCCACATCACATAGGGAACATGCGAAACATCTAATGCTGGGAAACTCCATGCTCTCGTTATACACCAAAACAACCATTTTGAATAGTAAATTGGAGAAGGAAAAAAGAATTGAGTTTTCCACCTATCAATGTATGGAATTGCTACACTCTTTATTCTTCTATGCAGCAATGCATTCATTCATCTCTCTCGCCTGGCTTTCTCTGTCCTCTTTGTTCTGTTCAACAGTTCAATCGAAAAACACTTCTAATTCGTAACATGTTGAATGTCCCTCATTCTGACATCATTTCTGGGGTCTTCCTTTTCATTCTACTCCTATAGTCGCATTTATATATTATGCTTACGTAATACAATACATGATTGTTTCTTGTTCGTATATTTTTTTTAGTCTCCTATCATCACGTACCATAAGCAGCAGCATTAAATACATGTGTGTGCGAAAATTATGGAGAAGGTTGAACTGGTTATTTTATATTATACACGATTATGGACAACTTTCCTATCAAACATCTTACACAAACCATTTTAATAATATATTAAAAATATAAAATATAAAATATGAAGTTTTTAAATTTTTATTGTTTTTATAATATTAAAGCGAGTTGAAGAAATACTTATAGCAGAGTGGATGTTAAAATAGTTTTTTCCTATATTTTATGATGTCAAAAGAAAACAGCACCGACATAAGACTGTTTTACTACGATGTTGTTAACATGTTGACAACATTCCAAGCATTGAATTACTTGATAGGAGTTTTAGATTTCAAACAAAAAAACTTAAAGAAAAAATTATGATAATTACATATATGTTATACTCACTATATTTGTAAGAAAGAACATCATAAACGTGAAGACTACGGGTGCATATACCCAGGAAAATGCATGGATATGTTTTAATAATACTTTTTAGCAGAGTCACATGCTCATATTCATGTATCTAGAGAGACCGGATGAGGGAGTTTTAGTATATATGAAACAATATTCAGTCAATCTAAACAAGAATCAACATTGGCTTTTAGACTCTTAAGGTGAAGGATGAAGACCGCAAGAGCAAAATTTGACAGCCAATTCACGAGAGCGATTGCAGCATTGTGATAATTTGACATCTTAATTAATTGAAGATTCAATGTTACCTTCTTTCAGTTGTTTTATGTCTAGTATTTCTATCACTTGACCAATGCTCCAAATTAGTGTGCTACGTACCTTGGATCGACCACTCAATGGCTACAATATAGCATCAAGCTACCAGATAGAGCTATATCCCAGCTTTAATTAACCCCAAATTACTAAATCAAAGCACACAAAATGCTTAAGACCTTGAAATGTAGAATTAACATGTATAATAATGTAAAACTGCAGCTTGAATAGATTCCTGAATTACTGGTGCAAGAAATTTAAACAAATCTGAAGTTGCAAATTACTTGCAGTATTGGCCGTACATTAATTAATTTGGTAAAATTGCACCTGGCTAGAAATGGCCGAGTCGAAGCTCCAAATCTAACTTCTCCTCTTGGTGTTTAAGCAACCCTATTCCTAATTCCAACGTAATGTTTTGCTCATTGTCCTTTAAACCTTTGTGCTCCTCCTCCCCTACACAGTCCTTCATTTCCTCATTACCACTGAAACCACTCCTTGTGTTGTTGTTGCTCATCATCAACATCTTAATTTCGCAGCTTTGATGGCTCAAAAGAGGAAAATGAGAATGAGAAGTGTTGAGTCTTGGTTTCTTGTCTCCACTGGTAGAAGTTGGGAGGGGTGAAGAAGACAAAGTGAGACAAGGACTGCAAAGTGGAGAAGGATTCGCATAGTTCAAAGGCTCATCAGATGAACGAGATGGTGAAGAATAGGGTGGAAGAAGAGTTGGGTTATTAGGCTTAGTGTTAGGGTTAGGTTTAGGGCATTCAGAAACCCATGAAGATAAGGATGATCTCAATCTAGCCCTATCCCTTCTGTGAACATTCATGTGTCCACCCAATGCTTGAGCAGACCTAAACTCTCTCTTGCAAAAGCTACAAGCATAGTTTCTAGCAGGCCATGTAGTTCCCCATGTGTGCTCCTCAAAGCCAAAGCTCTCCTCTCTCTGTGGAGTACTACTGTTGTTCAGATAGTTTCCTTCCATGGAGCTTTCTTTATCTAATGTAATTTTCAGTCCAAATCTGTAACCTGTAGAGAGAACAAGGAGAACAATGTATTGATTATTTAAAAAAAAAAAAAAAAAGGAACATTTGATTTTGTTCCTATAGAATAAATAATCATTAAGACCTATAGATCTCTTACAATTAAAAGACTTCACAGATGAGTGAGTGAGAGAAACCGATCCAAGAATGGCTTCATATTGAAGCTTAACATCATGTACTGAGGCAGAAAGTGAAGATCTCTATCTGCAGGTGTACTTCATCTGCCACTGCCTGCAGCTACTGTATTTGGATATTGCTTAGCACATAAAATGGAGGAACTGTGTGAAAGTGGTATTTCCCTTTTGCCTGATCCTGGAATGCTCTGGCATTTGGCAGGTTATGCTTACACTATTGCACTTGAGTGACTTTGAACAGAATTTGAGTATATTTGACTTCAAAAGAATAAATGTAACTATCAAACCAATTCAATCAACAAAAAAAATATCTATTTGACATATTTTCTTCCGTTCACATGTATTAATAATTGTTTATTTCATGAAAAGTATTTGAAACACCAGAAAACCCTGGTATATATAAAAACAATATTCAGGATAAGAAATAATTGACTCATAAGATTGTCAATTGAATATTAAGTTGGGATCAACACTGTTAAGGGTTTAAACTTTCCAAATACTACATTGGAAAAAGTAACACGTACTTGAAGTGAAGGTTAATTTTACATTTAAAAAGTATTAAAGTGACTAAATGACTCTGATTCAATTGATTGAGTAGTGTGTGTAGAGTAAATTATTGTAATTTTTTAGTATTTTTGTTCATTTTCTATAAATAAAAAAGTGTGTTAACTAGGATGACATGTAATTCTTGTCAAATTTAGTCATGGTGTTCTACAACTAATCGTAGTGGGTCTAATTTACGATCATGGAGCTTTCTATCGCCAACAAAATGCCGTGAAAGAATTTGTTGGGAAGAAACTTCTAATTAGTTACAAATCAAATTTTGAAGAAACTAATAAAAATTATTTTTATATGTTAATTATTTTCAGTTTATCAAGAAATTAATTTCATATTTTTCCTATTATTTAATAAAATGAATGACACTTACTTTTCATAACTTTTAAATAGATTTATACATATTTTCCATGTTCTAATAAATATTATTCATCTCATTATACGATTTAAAAAATGCGACAATTACCTTCTTTATTTTATTATAATTTTATTTTATGTTTATAAAAATTATTTTTTATTTTCATAATATTTTATTTAAGTTTAGTTTATAAAAAATAGTTTTGTGAAAAAAAAATATTTAATTTTGTCACAAATAAATACATATTCATCCAAAATTTCTTATTTGAATTAAAATCCTGTTACATCACAAATTGTTATATATTACTCTCCCACAAAAATCATACTAGTTTAAACGTATGTATAAGTGAGCTCCACCTTAATTTTGAAAGAGTTTCACTTAAGTCTGACCTATATGACTTGAAGGGATATGACTTGAAGAGATGAAGTTTGCAAGAGATATATAACGTTATTCTACACTTGAAAGTATATCGTTTCTCATTTAAGTAAGTCTAACTTAAGTAAGAATATGAGTGATTTAAGAGAGACGAGCTTAAAACGTATATTTTAACTTATACAAAAACTAAAGAACAAAACCAAAAAAAGAAAGATAGAAATTGATCAATATATGGTTTCAACAACAAAACTATATATCTTTTATTATAATTCTCTAAATAACACTACAAAAAAAAAGCCTATTACCTACGGAATATTACCTACGGATACAAATCCGTAGGTAAATTTTACATTACCTACGGATATTATCCACGGATAAAAATTCGTAAGTAAATTTTACATTACCTACGGATATTACCCACGGATAAAAATTCGTAGGTAAATTTTACATTACTTACGGATATTACCCACGGATGAAAATCCGTAGGTAAATTGTACATTACCTACGGATATTACCTACGGAATTCTATCCGTAGGTAATTATCCATTACCTACGGATATTATCCATAGGTAATTCCGTAGATAATTACTTACGTAATTACTATGCGTAGGTAAAGTGTACATTACCTACGGATATTACCAACGGAATTCTATCCGTGAGTAATTATCCATTACCTACGGATATTATCCGTAGGTAATATCATCCGTGGGTAATTCCGTAGGTAAATTATATTAAACTAAAAGAATTATCACTAGCAAGAATCGAACCCAAGTACCTTAAAGTCGAAAACCGATACTTCAACCACTAAACTATTAGGATATTCTAATAATAATTTACAACAAAATTATACTTATATTAATTCGTGTAAATATATAAATATATAAATATATAAATATAAAATATATAAATATATAAATATAAAATATAAAATATAAAATATATAAATATATAAATATATAAATATACAAATATATAAATATACAAATATATAAATATACAAATATATAAATATACAAATATATAAATATATAAATACATAAATATATAAATACATAAATACATAAATACATAAATACATAAATACATAAATACATAAATACATAAATACATAAATACATAAATACATAAATATATAAATATATAAATATTTAAATATATAAATATTTAAATATATAAATATATAAATATATAAATATATAAATATATAAATATATAAAAATTTAAATATATAAATATATAAAAATTTAAATATATAAATATATAAATATATAAATACATAAATATATAAATACATAAGTATATAAATACATAAATACATAAATACATAAATATATAAATACATAAATATATAAATACATAAATACATAAATTTATAAATAGATAAATATATAAATATATAAATATATAAATACATAAATATATAAATACATAAATATAAATATATAAATATATAAATATATAAATATATAAATATATAAATATATAAATATATAAATATATAAATATAAATATAATATATAAATACAAATATATAAATGTATAAATATATAAATATATAAATATATCAAAATATAAATATATTTTATATTTATATATTTTATATTTATATATATTTTATATTTATATATATTTTTTATATTTATATATATTTTATATTTATATATTTTATATTTATATATATATTATATTTATATATTTTATATTTATATATATATTATATTTATATATTTTATATTTATATATTTTATATTTATATATTTTATATTTATATATTTTATATTTATATATATTTTATATTTATATATTTTATATTTATATATTTTATATTTATATATTTTATATTTATATATTTACACGGATAAATATAAATATAATTTATTTGTAATTTATTTTCAAAATATCCTAATAGCTTAGTGGTTGGAGTATCGCCTCCAACTCGAAGTGCTCGTGTTCGAATCCTGCCAATGACAATTCCCTTAATCTAATAATAATTCAAAGTTTCGAAAATATAATAAATAATAAAAATATAATATAAAGGGGAGGGGGTTCTAGGTAATAATAAAAAATAAGGGAGGGGGTTGTAATAAATAAAAATATTTTGTTAAGGTGAGTGCATTACCTACGGATTATAATCCGTAGGTAATTCCCGCGAGTGCATTACCTACGGATTATAAATCCGTAGGTAATTACCTACAGATTTTCTACGGAAAGAAATCCGTAGATAAAGTGACATTACCTACGGATTTTTGTCATTACCTACGGATTTTACCCGTAGATAATAAGCATTTTTTTGTAGTGTAATTCAATCCAAGTTTAAATAATTAACCGATTCAATTAATCAACTAAATAAGATATACGAATTAAATTAAAATATTATTTAATCTAATTCATATTTAATTATCAAATCAATATTCAATTGATTTTTAATTTGATTACTAAAATCAAAATTACAAATTCATCTCGAGAAAGTGTAAAACTAAAATTAGAGAAGTGAAGAACAACCTCAAAGCGAGAAATATTCAATGCAAAACTCAATTAGGCTTGTTTGATTTTGATTCAGTGAGTTAATCCTCGGAATTTAGTTCTACATAGATGAAAAATATGAACTAATTCGAACTAGAAGAAATGAGAAGAATAGGATGAGTAAAAATGAAAATGACATAAAAGAGAGAAAATAGAAGATGCAAAAATATTTTTTAAAGGAAAATTCTAAAAATATAACTTTTGGATATAAATTTATAACTCATTTAGGCTATTTATACTCTCAAGTATCAAGTAAATAGGGTCTAAATGTGGACTCTAATTAGGTCCATAAGCCCAATTACAAAATTTAAAGTTAATACAAATAAAATATAATTCGCATGGGTTCTTTACAAAATTTCAGAAAAATTTGTCTCAATGGAAGCCCTTAGAATCCAATGAAATTTGAATCATCCAAAAATAGTATCTACATAAAAAAGTTATTGCAAAATAGTGAGAAAAATGTCAAATAAGCTGAAAATACAAAATTAAAATATATCTACACAAACCAAATTTATCATTACTGTTGACCCCAAATCTTGCCCGACCTCAAAATAAATAGTAGAAGACCTCCAATTCGAAGATGGGCAAGACCTAAAAGGTCCCTAAGATAGACTAATAAGCCTCATATTAGAGTAGGAAAGTTTTATATACAGAAAAAAAATAAGGAATTCTACCTGGAAAGTCGGGATCGCCATCTCACCATCGGCAAAGGGCGAGACCGCCGTCTCGTCTTTGATAAATGGCGAGATGGCCTTCTCGCCACTCGCCAAGGCGAGACCGCCATCTCGTTTGGCGAGACGGTCATCTCGCCATTTATCAAAGACGAGACGGTCGTCCCACTTGGCGAGATGACCGTCTCGACCTAACAGACATGAATCCCTATAAAAGGAGGGCGTGTTCCCCTCCTTTTCACACAATTTTTCAACTTTTCCTTCTGTAATTCTTCAGCTAGGATCCCTCCGAAGCATTTTCGGAGTTTCTTAGCATTCTTAGAGGT